AAATTCAAGTTTTATTGCGGATTTAAAATTTTTTTAATACTTGTCTTGTATATTACATTGTAGTCTTGAATATTATTAAGGATTTTATTATAAAATCGGTCACATTAAACTTAAAAAAGACTTGTTTATCTTTTGGAGCCTAGAGGCGGGTACTAAAAGTTTATTTCTATTTCTGGTATTAAAAGAATGCACACTTTTTTTCAAAAAGCTATCTTTGTTTTTATGAACGTATATTACATTTTAATATATATATTGACTTGCCACTGTCATTGTATTTATTTCTTTAAATGTCTGCCTCAATGAACAACGATTACCTAAATTAGAAAGTGCTCGAATCGCTCTCTTTTGCAGTACAAAAATTGTTTGAATGTCGGCAGTATTCCCCCACAGTAGAATACCGTACGACATTATGCTATGAAAATAACTGAAGTAAACAAGTCGTGCTGTATTAACATCAGTCAACTCTCGAATTTTTCTTACTGCGAATGCTGCTGAGCTCATGGCTTATAGTGTGACTCACTAATATCAGTTTGCATTACTTTTTACAGATGTTATGTAAAAGCTGTCAACGACATACAAGTTAGACTCAGTAAATATATTTTTACAACGGCCGATTTAATATAATTGATAAGCGTAGAGCTAATAGGCGAGGTTTCTTCTTAGAGGATACGACTCTAATTATTGTAGATTTAACTATGGATACGATAAAGCGCATCTCTCTCTGGCCTACGCTATGTCCGTCTGTGGTATGTCTGTGTGGGAATTCCAATGCATGTTGATTATTCCAAGGCACGCAAATCCCAGTATAGAAGGTTCACCTCCTACACTGTAATTAATACCAAATACGTCATTTATGCGAATGGTGATGAAAGACACCGACCTCGGGTTAAGCATTACTGTATAATAATAGTAAAAACGTTGCTAAGGGGTCACATACAGATTTGAAATAAGATTAAACAAAAATCAGAGCAGCAAAGAGTCAAAAAATCATACTGTATCAATATATATATTTGTAGATCATGTAGGTACAATCAATTATTTATTAGGCCATAGAATGGGTACATGTTCGTTTCTTTTCAATACATTTTCGTTTCTTTTTATAGTGCAGATCAACACAAGAGAAATTAAATGGTCTAAAAACAATAAAATTAGAATTAAGGAATTAATACAGGAACGGCGAACAATTTTCTTTTTTACTTTCACATAATCTTCATAAATGAGCTTAAAAAACTATAAAAGACATCTGGATAGCTGTCAGAAAGAATATTAAAGAGTTACAGTTATTAGATTGAAATATAAGGACCGCATGACACCAATTAACCCCAATTACGACAGCAAAGTTCGAGGTATTATAGTAATTGAAACGATTTATTGATGGACATAACATAAAACAGTGCATTGTTTACAAACACTTCTTTAGATTACATTTTGAAAATATCACGGTCGATGCTCTTATGTCAATGAGCTTAATACATATCGGTTATCTAAACTGATTTGCAAAACTTAATAATTTTTGGTCTATAAAGGATCAAGATTCTAGGCGGCATATATATGAGTGTAGATTGATGTTGTTGATGTTGAATATACCTTCTGCTAGTGTTGAAAAGAGAGAACAAAAAAGATAAAACCCGTATCTGTACCTGACCTCTATCTCTATCTGACCTGTATCTATCTCTTTATGTAAAAATCTTTCAACGTAGTTGTCAATAATTTGTAGACAATTAGAAGATACATTATAGTTTAAAAACCCGTTTTAATATGTTTTATTTGAGAAAGTATTGTGTCAAATAATTCATTGATTGTTTCACTCATAGATATAGAGTATAAAAATTATAATAAAAAGCAAACCACGTTATGTTATACCAAAAAATATTCACTAACTTTTAGCTATGTTTGCTATAAAAGGCATCTTTTTTCCTATAATTTATTTTTCATATAAAGCGTACTTTCATATCTTTATCTTCTAGGGTTTCGAAAATGGTTGCAGAGTATGATTCTTCAGTAAGTACATAAAGTAAAAGTGATTCGAGAATCAGCAATGAGTACGTGACACCACTGTAGCAAAAAATCAACGCTTAATAACAAATATACGCTTGTTTGCAACCTTACAAGTAGAGAAATATCCTCTAAAATTAATTTCAGTATGTAGCCTTGTAATCATCAGGAGCAGATGTTAAATGTCTGCACTTTAAAAGGTGACAAATAATATTAAATTTCATTGATGACTTCATAGACAATTAGTTCACATGACAAATAGATACAAATTAGAAGAACCAGCGTAATATAATACCTTATTTTACCTCTATGATCTGTTCTTGGTTATTTAATAATTAAATCAGTAATCTTGACCCATTTAGAAATCAATTTTACGCTTATTACAGGTACTAATCAAAATAGTTCTTACATCACTCTTTGTAAGGCTTTTGTGAGGTGTGACACGATATGAGTAATTTAGATAAGCACTCATTTATTAATGAGCAGAATCTGTTTATTACAGAAGCTTTTCATTACTTATCGACTATGACATCACCGAGCGTCTTGCTAAGAGTAGTTCTTGAGATTTTAGCTGGAGCTCACAGTCAGTCAATGACGGCATGCAAAAACAACCACACGTTTGTTCAAATAATTATCAACATACGAAATATTTTCGGTATTCACGGACGTTTATGAAGTATATCATAAAGTGATTGTGAAAAATTGTGATTTTGTTATGTTAAATGCTCGTAAATTAGTTATTTTGGAAATTCGAAACAATGTGTTCTTGTAATATGGAGTATTTTAAAAATATATGGCATCGTTGGTTCGGGAAACCAGAGAAACCCATGAGTATCCCGTTTCAGCCAGGTACCTATTTGTATTTTTAATTTTGTATGGTTTAAAAATTGACTAGTTTTTATATAAATACATAGCTATATATAATAGTTAGTATATGTATATAAAGTTTTGTAATAAAATAGACTGCAAATCATCAGGTGTGAGATGATATCAGGTATGATATTCACATAATTCATTCAGTTTAAATGTTTTTTTTATACTGATTGGTATAACTTGCACTGACACAGATTTTCAGTACCTCCTCCATTATTAATAAGAAGCATAATCTTATACAAAACAAATATTATACTATGGTATGCCATATAGTATTTTAAGAATCTCATAGACCACTCTCTTAGTCTATTATAAATGATATAGACCAAAATTATTTCATGATCATCATTTAATTTTGTTGTCTCTTGTCCTGCTCACGTACATGTATTAATGTCTGATGTCTGAAAGCAGAAGAAACGGCCGCCTACGTAATCCTGGAATGCGAGGGAATGGCCACACAACGGGCAAATATCATTCCTGATACCTACATAATTTCTCCTAGAACCCTGTAAACGCCCCAGGAGGCTCCTGCGCTTCTGGAAGAAGCTTGGTTGGCTTACCTAGCTAACCTGCCCTAGATGCATAAAGGACCATCTTGAGTCTAAATGCGGAAACCGAAGCCCACAACCAATACCAATACCAAAAATACATGTATTAATGAGTTGTGACCAATCAAATTATTGCACAAATTTTATAGTGAGTGCGAGTGCCTGTACCGTTAGACGTATGAGTGACCCATGCTCCTCTGGGATTCTTTTTCTTAATTGGGAAAACAAAACAAGGTTTTAATAGGAACACTCATACTATTGTCTTTGTTTTTGTCACAGATTAGTCTTGGCACATATTTTAATTACTGTATAGCAAACACAATGTCAAAATTAATAAATTTGATGGTACTGGTCACTTTTGGGGGTAAAAGACTAAAGGAATAAGGACTTGTGAGGATTTCAACAACATATTTGTAGTGTATTGTAAAACTGATAATAAAACTTGCAATTGTCCTTTAATAACTAAAGTACATACAATAAAATATTTAGGGATAAACATTGATCATCGATTGTCGATTATCTTGGCACCCGCATTTGGATTTATAAGAAAGCTAATCTGGGTTTCCAAGTCCCTACGTCTTGTCACCACTAAGGCTGTGATCACTAGGTCTAGACTTTATACAGCACTAGATGAATCTATATTAATCCATTGCATTCCAGTATGGGGGGGTGCAACGAAAACAAAATTTTTGGAACTGGAAAGGGCCCAGAGGTCACTTTAAAAGTAATTTACTTTAAGCCATACCGGTTTCCCACTACAGAATTATATATTTATAGTAAAGTTCTATCTGTCAGGAAAATCTACATATTGTTCGCTATATTGAGACACAAAAACATTTTCCCGTTATTTACAATAAACTGCTAGATGTAGGCATTTTCTCATTGTCCTTAATCTTCATTTCATCGTTCTCCAGACACTCTCTCATACATCGATGCATGTTAAAATATTTTTTTAAAGTGCAAAATAGAATAACTGCAAGTGCGCTGATTTAGAAACTAAATATTTTTACAGCTCATTGCACAGTAATAATGAATAATTTCATGTCTAGAGATCTTAAGAATAACACAAACTTTGTTATGTTATATCGTAGATGCACATTCATCATACTGAACCCTATACACGAACCCTATGAGCTTAACGATGGCTTGTTTTAGTTCCTTATAATAATAATTTACATAACGTACTTAAGATCGATTATTTGTATTTAGATCCAGTTATGCTAAATAAGTTTAATATAATTTGAATAACAAACTCATGAGCTAAAAATAATACAATGACTTCCATAGAATAATCCAAAACACAAAATTCCTATTATTTCTTTAATCTAACTTGAAAGTTGTGGTAACATTTCATGACACATCAATAGCTTCTTTATTATTCCTAGATAATAACGAGATAAATTGATTGCATTTTTAGTGTTTCACTTTAATAACAATAAAATAGCGAAGTAATGACTTCTCAACGTTTGTATAGAATATGTGACAGCCTTTGTATACTAATTCGCATGACTCCATAAACTGTTTGGTATTTACTCAACGACCCTGTGCAATCGTACGTAACCTAATTTCAATGTATTTATTCAGATGTCGGTGATGCGATTCGAAGAGGCGTGCTGGCCGTACAGGGAATTGACTTCTGTGTCGACATAAACGGCGAGAACCATCACACAAGCAAGTTCCATTTGATGACAAGGAAAGTGGATAGGTGTTTGGTTGTAAGACGAGGGCAGGCTTTCAAGCTTGATTTGCTACTGAACAGACCGTACGACGCCAGTAAAGATGCTATATCATTTATATTCTACGTATCAGGTTCGTATTGTTGCAGTTAGTATCATAAACAAATATTTTGTGTATCTCGATTAAAGCTTTTAAACTTTAAAGCTTTTAAGCTTTTAATCGTGTCTGGCTTTAGACAAATGGACAGAAATGAGACTTGATCTTGCTACATGGTCAATGTTTACCAGCAAAGAGTATGATTATGTTACTTTTTACGGAACACACCAATCTCTGTATCGTAACATAAGGTATACAGTTTCTAATACAATATTTTTTTCCTTCCCTTTGTTCAGATGTAGAAACTAGAGGACCTTCACACGAGACGTCAGCGGCTGTACCTCTTTTGGAGAAAGGATCAGAGACCGTTGGAACATGGAGTGCTATATACGAGAGCCAGGTGGATAATCACTTGATGGTTTCTGTGACACCTGCATCGGATTGCATCGTAGCTTCATGGAAATTGGAGATAGATACTAAGCTTAGTGGAGGCAGCTCGCTCAGTTATAGGCATCCTTTGCCTATTTATGTGCTCTTTAATGCTTGGTGCCTAACTGACAGCGTATATATGCCTGGTGATTATGAAATTTGTTTTACTTTTACCAGTTATTTTAAGGTTGATACACTATTCTTTTCAATTAAATTAAAAATCTTGAACAACACTGACAGTTAGACAGACATTTTGTAAGCTATCTGATAGATCATTTGAAATTCATATTTTATGTATTGTATGAGCGGCGGGAGTCACTTACCAGCAGATGAACCGTCTACTCGTTTGCCATATGTATCATAAAAAAAAAGTGAAAATTCTTAGTTAAATTAGTTTTTGTAAAAGTGAAATTGATATCGTAAGTTTGAACTTTAAGAGTTGGAGATCACTGGTTACTCATAGCAATCACTCATTACTTACATAGTTGTTTACGTGTTTTATAAAGGTGTATAACTTGTACAAAGCTGTGTTATAACCTTTATTAGTTAAAGCTTCATTGACATGTACATTTCATTAATTAAGTAAACCCACACTTGTTTTATTACATCAAAGCACTTTGAAGTGCATCTCAAGGTTGGCACATTGTCATAATTTACATACATTACTCACTGTTCTTCTGAATGTTTCAGGTCACAGTCATCGTGAGGAGTATGTGTTAGCAGACGGAGGACTCATGTACAGAGGAGTTTATAACAGGATCAAGCCTAGTCCGTGGAACTACGCACAATATGAAAAAGATATTCTGGATTGTGCACTGTACCTGGTCAGAAAAGTTGGCAAGGTACAACAATGCTACTACTAATAAATATTCTTTAATATCAGCTATATTTTATAAGTTATTTCAATAATAAAAACGACATCTTGTATAAATATAGGTATCGAGCTTTGTTAAACAAATGACTATGCAGAATGGTAGATATCCATAGCTTTTCAATTTATATAGGTCCCATGTATGTACGTCCATACATACATTACGTACAATTGATTGAAAATTGAAGAATTGAACCAAGAAAACTTAATAACGCCAGACCGGTACTTAAACAGTAATTATAGCTTAATACAGTCTTGGATCAAATAAAAAAGTTAAAATGGTAAGTACCTACTCTGTGAACAAGGAAGTGAGGCCAATTAAAACTACGCCTTGGCGTGTGAATACAGTACGATTCTTGCGACTAGGCCAACTTCATAGCGCACGAATTTTAAAATTTGCGGTTCAATTGTAAATCTGCGGTATTTCCGGACCGATATGACGTTCAAGAAAAGAGCGTACACCTACCAAAGGCCGAAAAGGCGCTTGTGCCTCCTGAGTTGCAGGCGATCATGAGCGGCGTGAGTCACTTTCCATCAGGTGATCAGTCTGCTCGTTTGCCCCCTCCCTACATTATAAAAAAATTGGCCATTGAAAGTAGTTACTTTTCACTTAATATGTTTGTTAACAGGTCAAAGGCCGAGCTAGAAGTGACCCAATTCGAACAACACGTGCCTTATCTGCTGCAGTCAACGTGCAAGACGACAATGGAGTAATATTTGGTAACTGGGCGTCTGACCCTCGGGATTACAGCGGTGGAACACATCCTCTTAAGTGGGTCGGGTCATTGGCTATACTTCAAACGTATTACGAAAAGAAAAAGCCGGTGAAATACGGACAATGTTGGGTCTACGCTGGAGTGCTGACTACAAGTAAGTGTCTGGTTAAAAACACTATTAATAATAAAAATATTCCTTTCGTTTTATCAAAAGACACTATTTTTTTACTTCTCCTGACTCAAAGTCTATGTTATGATTTAGTATGTAGAGCACTTGGTATCCCCTGCCGACCGGTAACAGGGTACGATGCAGCTCACGATAGTGAAGGCAGCTTAACAGTCGACATTATCAAAGACGATGAAGGCAACACACTCGAAGAATTTTCAAACGACTCTGTATGGAACTACCACGTCTGGAATGAGGTAAGAATTTATTTACAACTTTACGAGGTACTTAATTTCTTAATAATTGCCGTCAAACAATGTTAATGGCTGTGGATTCGGTCAAAATATATCAACCTAGTGAAACTGGTGTGGTCATCCATTGAATTATTTTCTATCTCTAAGTTCTATTTTACTCTTATTTACTTCAATATTGGCAAAATTTAGAGGTATTTTGATGTTAAACTTGTGCACTGTGCAAGTTATAGACATAGATTGCACAAAACTTTGCTTTAAACTCCACAGATCAAGATTGTGCATTTGTTCAATCATAATACTAGTTCTAAATATAAATGGTGAAGTTCTAAATATATGTGTCCTCCTACGCAACAGCAGACCGATCGCTGATTCACTTCTTATTAGGTATAAATAACTTAACCTAGATTACTTAATCAATCACCACCATTAATGAAACATGGCAAAGCAGATCAGTGGCTCACCTTTGCCCGCATTTCACAATGTTTCTGATTGAACAAATGTAGAGCTTATAAATGTTCTAAATATGAGTTGCATTAATGTCACTTACCTTAGCTGGTAAAGAATGTATGTAGGGAACGCAGTATCGTTTATAACGATTAGAGTTATAATAGAGCTTTAGAGCTAGGTTTATAATGCCTTAGATTAATACCCATGAAAAGTACTGGTAATACTCAAATTCAACGATACAACAGAATAACAAATGTTTTCAGTACGTTAACTGTTTTATTTATTTTATTTGGTCCTCGTTATGATCATGAGAATGTTGTACAATCACATAAAACTTAACGTAAAGATAACATGTTTTATGATTTGTACAGTGATTGCAATATTTTCTTATATTGAATAGAGTGTACATAATATGATTAGTATCATAAGAAATATATACCTAAACTTCGATCGAAAATAAACTTTTATGGGCAATGGGTTTATTTGTGAGTTATTTGTATAATATTGTTTTAAGGTATGGATGGAGCGTCCAGATTTGGGTAGTGAATACTCTGGTTGGCAGGCTCTGGACTCAACACCACAAGAAACTTCTGAAGATATGTATAGATGCGGGCCAGCTTCATTGAGAGCTATTCGAGAAGGAGACCTGCAAAGACCTTACGATGCAGCATACGTTTTTGCCCAAGTCAATGCTGATAAGGTAAGACCACTTGTATAATCATTCTATAAGGTTAAGTTTCACTACGAGTATTTGTAGTAGTGCAGTATAACTCTTTATATTTAAGAGACATACTGAGTAACAAAAATATCAATATTCACAGGTGCTGTGGAAATATTCAGGTGAAATTCAACCTCTTAAGCTGATGGCACGTGACTCAGTTTCAATCGGACAAAACATCTCTACAAAAGCCGTTGGAAAGATGGAGCGAGAGGTATGTGGATTTATTAATTTCAAGTGTCTATTATGTATAAAGTGGGATAAGTTCGACAGGACACTGTATTTATAAAGTTTTTGTATCTTCAAACATTTCTGTGCTCGAGCGAGCTTTGAGTGTTGCAATTCTATTTATTAATTTAATAATTCTATTTCTTGCTATTTAGTTTTGGTTATAAAAAGAAATACGACGATGACTGATGAACAAGAGAAGATGACTGACTGTGTAAAAGAAGGTGTGGCTAGAAAGAGAGTATGCAGTTTAACTGACGAGTGATAGAGGAGAATGGAAGAAGAAAACTACCTGCGCCGTATTAGTAGACTTAGAACTCAATAAATGATAGTAAAGTTTATTACTATTATTTAAGAAATGATGGTATTTAAGTCTACTAGTTGCCAATACATACATGTTAAACTGATTGAGGTGGACTTGTTTCTGACTTAAACATCCTCCTTGTCAAGAGTTAAACGTGTGTTGATAGATAGATAGATAGATAACCCTTTATTGTACAATAAAAACATAGTAAAAATACAGTTTGTATACATTGGTGTGAGTCTTATAATCTAAAGTTTTATAAATGAAACAGAGAGTAAAATATTAAAAGTTGTACAATTGGCGCCCTCATCGCGATTTGCGATCTCTTCCAGGTAACCATTGGATGGAGAAGGAGAATAGGAATGAGATAGGGAGTTACAATTTGTAGATCGGAGTTTTCTGAGTATTTTGTAAATTAAGACTTTAAGACTATTAGATTATACAAACTTATATTTGAATATATACACTAAACACATACACACTGAGATTGATGATTTGACCTGAGATGACTTTTACTAACAGAGTTAGCATAGTTGAATCAGTGTGCAATAATAATATTAAACAGAATGTGGTGACTCCCACATACAAAGAAACAGAAGCAGCGCCATCTAACGAACACACACCGAACTACGGAGTAACTCCTGAATGAGTATTGCTTATCCTGTATCGCGATGCAAAGAATTATCTCGCCGATTAGCATATATACAACTGCCCCACATCACCCGTCTGGCCACGGCCCGCCAGGCATGATGACCTAGCCTAGTCGGAGGATCGTCCGTTTGTGTTGGAGAGACATGACATCTGTTCCTCCACAAGAAAAGATAAGAACTTTGAATTATTATTTTTACAGGATCTCACACTCATTTACAAATACCCAGAGCGTTCAAGAGAGGAGCGTATGACTATGGAGAACGCATTGCGTAAATCGGAGAGTATTTTCGCTCGGTACTACTTGAACGATGCTTTCAATGACGTCACCTTCGACTTTGAACTCCGAGACGACATAAAGATTGGGCAGGACTTTAGTGTGGTATGTAACTTTTTCAATGTATATGTCAATTATTTGCTGTTCTAAATTTTTTGTTGGTGGGGTCCTAGACAATACTACCTAAATTCATTGTAGTCTTGGTCAGACTATGACTATGCTAGTCATTGGTTGACAAACCTTTTTCAAGGTAATAAATATGCAGAAGTTGAGTATTAGAGTTAGGTTTGAGTTTTCTCACTACAGGTTTGAGAAGGATTTTTTTTACGTTGAATGATGATTATTTTTAGTAACAATTCTACATTAAAAGTTTTTATGCAATTCTTTTGTGTAATTTTATTTAAAAAAAACTCGCAGTGAAATTAAATAACATACTAGCCCTAGATTTGAAATATTTAATTTGAAATAATTTCTATTTTAATTAGGAGTCTAAACGTCGTAATTGTATTATTAATCTGCTCTTCAGGTTCTTCATATTAAGAATCGTTCAGTTGCCGAATCGCATCAAGTTAAGGGTATTTTACGTGTAGATACAGTAACGTACACTGGAGTGACTGGAGATGGAGTGAAGAGATCAGAATTCAACATGAAAATCGGTCCTGGGGCCAAAGAAGATGTCAAGATGATGGTGACTTTTGACGAGTACTATAAGAAATTAGTAGATCAGGTCCGTACATGTTATCATAAACTTCTATACGAATATTATAAATCTTAAGAGGTTGTAAATAAGATAGTCGAATGCTCTAATCTCAGGAACTGCTAGTTCAAATTGCAAAATTTCAAATTGAAAAATTCAAATTGAAATTTTGCAAGAAAGGGGGAGTCAGCTAGTACTTTATTTATTTTAAATATTAATATTTATAAATAATATGGAATATTATACTTATAACTGTTCTTTACAGGCTTCTTTCAACATCACCTGTTTGGCCACAATAGTTGAGACACATTTCGATTATATTGCACAAGATGACTTCAGAGTAAGGAATCCAGACATCAAGATCAGCATAGATGGCAAACCAGTATCTCACCAAGAGTTCACGGTACACGTTAAGGTGGACAATTCCCTACCAATCCCATTAACGAAGTGCAAGTTCTATATACAAGGAGCCGGGCTTGAAAAGCAGCTAAAAATTCCGTTAAATGAGGTTGGTGAATATATAAGTAAATATGTAGTCCGAAACTTATAGTGTCTTGCTTTATTATTAATGGCTCTGCTGTGGAGCTTACTCCCTAGCAGAGCCACTCAAGTGAAAATAATCAAAACCAAATCTTATTTATGATACTTGTTTACGCAAGATATGTACGCAATAAAGAGTTTTCGTGTGTCAGTTTTCATAAAGTTGCTACATTCTGAGTACGTGTTTTAAGTGGCCCTGCTGGGGAGTATGCTCCGCAGCAGAACCACAATCGATGATCATTATTTTGTTACCTATGGTACGTACAGCGATATTGACCCTAATTATGTATATTATGTACGTTTGATGTACATCATTTTAAGATATAATTGATCGGTATTTATCATGGTGGCTCTGCGGTAGAGCATACACAATAAAAGCAATCACAATAATCACGCCTGTCGACACTTAAATAAGAATCTGAGTAAAGAGTACTACTATTAGCGCCATCTGTATCGTTACACCAGAACTATGGAAGGCCGACATCTGCTTCAAAATTCAGTAGTTTGGTACCAACTATAATAATACTTTCTTGTATCCACAGAGTGTAGCACCGGGCGAATTCGCGACGGCACAGTTTAACCTTACACCACCCTGGGCTGGCAAACACCAGATTACAGCAAAGTTTACTTCCAAGGAGATGCGCGATATTGATGGGTTCCTATCGTTTATGGTTGCCATGCCTTCTGGAGCTAATGGTACTAATTAGATTTTATCAACTGTTGAAAGCGACTAAATTTAAGAATATACTGTAAATGTGAAAAGAAATCAGGACCTCAATTCTGCTATTTTATGTTCACGCCAAGCCACTGTCATACCACTGACACGCTATTGACATGCCATCGAGTGGCCATTGGCATCGGTATAAATATCGGTAGTCTACACTAACACAGTGTCTTTACAGTGGCGATGGAATGGCAGTGGCTCATCAGTGGTGATATCAAAAAGATTATAAGGAAATGATTATACCGATGCCAATGGCCACACGATGGCACCTCAGTAGCGTGTCAGTGGTATGACAGTGGCTTGGCGTGAACATAAAATAGCAGAATTGAGGCCCAGGGCAACCGTTAATATATGTTCTTACAAAAGTTATTCTTTTTTCAGTTAGCTTAAGTTAAAAAATACAAAGTCAAAACTCTTATTTATTATTAGTTATTTATTGTTATCTAGCAAAACAAAGCGAAGTAAGATAATAAAATTTAAGGATCTGCCAACTCTATTATTATTATCGTCTTAGTTATTAATGTACCTATTATAAAAAAAGCATAAAAACAGCTTTATAGTGTTTTATTTCTACACACAAAGCTTTAAATTAGATCAGGCACCTCTGGGTTGTCCACGAAGTCCGGTGAAGGTAATTTCGCCTGTAATTTTAGCCTTGGGTCAATGTAATCAGGCTTTGACATATTATCATTAGCTAAAGTCAATTTAGTAAAATCTAACACATTATCGGAGGGCCCTATTTCTAGATATTCCCTTTTAGTCTGTCCGGTGCGTGCGTCACATTCTTCTATTTTGTGTTCCGTATATAACATGGCTTCTTTTGTAGTGTACTGCGCTGTATTTTTTTTTGATGTTTTTAAAACAACTTTAGATTTTGGCATCTTTATCACTAGATGGCCTGTGATTTGAGAGCGTTGTGCAATGGAGTTAGTAGTATCGACTTCCTCCGGTAGATGGATCTGAAATATCTTACCTCTGATAATGACCCTCACGTAGTTTGGCTGCACATCTACATCTATAAGGCTTGTATCCAAGTGCTTGTATACTGCTAGATCTAACATGTAGAATTCCGGATCATCAGAACTAAATAAGAAGTCTAGTTGAGGTTGATTTATATTATATGGCCGGCCTTCCTCGGTAAAGAATTTATAAACACGTTTCTCCTGTTTTTTCTCTCCAGTGTCCAAACTTTTAAGTTTCAGATTTCGCATTTTTTCCATTTCATAACGCACTTCAGGAGAATGTTCACACTTTTCTTTCCAAAATTTTTTGTTTCGTTCTTCAGGATCCATGTCTTTGTATTCATTTTCCCATTTTTCACGAATCTCCCTTTCTAGACGATTTTTCTGCTTTATTCTTTTACCCCTATAGTTTTCTTGTTCAAATAGTATATCTGACCTTATTATAGGAAGATTTTGAAGTGCTTTAATTCGATCAGATCTCTCAACTTCTAGACCATCAAGATAAGTCAGTTGTGGCAAAGTCCCGATAACAAATTCTCTATAATTTTCATAATCCGTGCAAGGATTTCCAGATAAGTATAAATTTTCTAAGTTGTAGAGGTTAACGAGGTTCTCCACACTTACTATTTCACCAATAAAATTAAGAGTAAGGTCTAATTTCTGTAACGATTCACATCTTTCTAAATTTTCGATTATTTCAATGTTATTTAAAGCTAAATTTAGGTAAACAAGGTGTTTTAATTTATTTAAATTCTCTATTTTGGCTATTAGGTTACTTTGCATAAGTAAAATTTTTAATTTAGGACACCAGTCCTGTAAGTACTCAATCTTCTCTATGTTCTCCTGATGCAAAGCTATCTCTTCAAGTGGAGCGAGCAAGCGCTCATGATGCTCAGCTTTCTTCCTTACCATTTCCACAGTTATAAACACCATTATTTTAAATTAATTTACCAGTAAAGCTGTAACTTGATAAAACGTTTTGCAAAGCAAATTAGTAATATGACAACCGTTGCTTAGTTACGCGAAGAGTTATTTTATCGAGATTGACGCACATTGCTTGTTGCCAGTGTTTTAAAATTACGTAATAATTTATAATCCTTATGAAATTTACTTATGTATCAATCTGAAATAAAAAAAATCATTTCTCTTACCTTATTTTTTAAACCTACTTAAAGAAAACGATTTGAGAATTATGATTTCAAAGTACTTACAAATAGACAAGCACATAGATTTTTCTATACAAATTTGCGGTGGACAATGCTCCATTTGACTTCGCAGTATAAATTTCTATAGAATTTGTTTTTCTGAAACTGATAAAAAGTGGCTGATTTGAATTAATTGTTAAGGTGTATAGTTTTCAAAGGAAGTCCTTTGAAAACTATACACCTTAATAAATACATTTAATGAGACTATGATAGAATTTATAACATTTAGAGCGGTTGGTTATCTTTCAATCGCGGTGGTCGGTAATCCGTCATTTAACATTCCAGCGGTGGCACCACGACCGATCAACTCAAGCGTACTAAATTAATATCACCGTGATGTAGAGGGTATTAAAATATTTTAAACGACGCCATTTATAATATGACGTTCAGATATCAAGTCGCGAGAGCACAACATATATTATTCCACGAAACTGCCAAAAGACAATGAGGATGAAGGATTACTATCATCAGGCACTCGTTTTATTGTTAATATTCCAAGTGGGCTCACACGTCGAAAAAACAACAATATGGAAAAAACAAGAGATGGTTGGATAAAATAAGGCTTGACAGAGGAAAAGACGGTGTTATTAGTGTGCAAGGCGCGGGCTCCGAGGGTAGGGTGCGGCGCCCCGCGGTCTGTGTGTGTTTAGGGACCGCGCGGCGGGGCGCCGCCGCAGTCGAGCCCAGCCGACTAAAGCACTTATTGAAAGCAGCCAATTTAACATTTTGTTGTTTAAACAAACACAGTCTGTTGGCCTAAGTGGTCTTGTCAATTTATTAATTATTCTAAACAATTTGAAACGTTCGAATACAAATCTGTAAGAAAAATAAATGTTGTACCTAGAGCTTTTAAGATAGCTTACAGAAGCTTAGCTTTAAAGCCTTGTGTAACATAAAATATTCAAGTAGGTAATATTGTTTTGTTACATACCTGAGAAAAAAATCGATGATAAAATATGTATTTAACAATAAAAAACACTTATAACATTCGTTTTGAATGTCATTTTTTGGAGTCGGTTTCGGTTTTTTGCACTAAATAATTACTGCAACTTGCACTTTTAGATAGCTCCTATATACCTACTTTATTCAAGTACTTTTGTTATTAACTAAGTTGCGTGGTGTTTTAGGTTAGAATAGATAGGTATACTTACATCAATATGTTGATTTCTTCAGAGCTTTGTATGTAACTAACCAACCGGACGGTAGCTAGTGGTGTTGCAAGTCCGAGGTACCTTATAACAAGTTCAAGTAAACAACTCAGGTAGCCGTTTCGCCAATTAATTTAGCTTTTTTTCGTTCGCTTGAGACTCGCTGAGGTACTGTACTGCTGCGAGGAACACGCAAATGTCAGGACAAGTCAAAACAACCGTCATCACTTCAAGAGAGGTTTTAAAAAAATATACAACTTTTATGAGAATACCGCTTGTATTTTGTCGTCTTGTGTTAATTCACCGTGTTAATGTGACGGGATGTATCTGTTTTAAATGAGACGTTTTTGATACTTTATCATCAACAAGTTTTTTCCTTTTTTACCTTTACAGGGAATTAAAAAACGGTTTTACTTCTTAGTATTTTTTTTTAATGCACTGCATCAGAACATTCTGGAATCAATACCGTAAGTAAGTGACACTGATTAAGTGTGTCTGTTAAGGATCAGGTTTTCGAGTAATAGAAGCTCGTAGGTAGAATATGTACATATCCGGTATGATTGTATAACAAGTGTCGAGCACTGTCAGAATCGTGGAGCAGTCGGCACGTCTACGCGGCCGCAGTGTTGAGCAGTGGAGCGTGAGCAGCAATCTGGAGGCGGCATCTCAACTCGCGCGCAATCAACGATTCGTTCCGGTGTAAGGGGCTGAGTTGCAATGCGGGGTGCGGGCGGGGGCTGGCCCGGGCCCATTCTCACGTAAATAATTACCGGCAAGTCTCAAATTACAAGGCGCCGCTACGGCCTGCCGATACATATTCATCACATGTTCGCGCCGCGCGCGTGACAGCTTCCTCAGGCCAGTGACCAGCTCCTCAAGAACCGCTGCTAACCTAGTATCACTCAATAATTTCCTTATATTTGCACGATAATTATTATAATTAAAGTCATGTCTGTTTTAAATTATTGTTATAGGTAAGTATAAGGGTCGTACAATTTCCCAAATATCTATCACAGTACAGAAACAATAGGTATGCGGTAGCCAATACATTTAAATGATTCTCTTGAGCTCAATTATCAGTTACGATCTTATTGTTGAAGGAAAAACCTAAGTCTGTTTAAATGTAAATGTGTATAAATAAAATGTATACGTATCAATGACTAATTAAAATTGACCGAATTCTTATTACGTGGTTTGGGAAATTAATATTTGGTGTTATCTAAGTAATTCAAACGATATAATCGTAAATAACTAGTTATCGTAGGCGACGACTACTTAATGGTGTATCTAATTGAGTGAATGCATCAATAAGTTATTTAATAATTAAATTAACTAGCGGTATATTAGATGTTTCCAATGTTTAACGTAGGAGAAGAGTTTGGAGTTCATCAACGTCAATGAATTCCTAATTAGAAATATCGCAGATCGCGCCGGATGCGGTTTAAACGATAAATTATGCACTTCGAGAGGAGTACTAATTTCGATGCCGACAAATTTTCCACAACTGCGATTTTAATGCGGTTCAAATAATGTCTGTAGGCAACTCTAAATGATAAATTGTGAGAGGTACGCCCCAGAGTTGTGTTTAGTTTTAAACGACGCGGGGTCCTTGTCGTTTTGCGGATGAACGAAAAAGACAGAAGTGTCTGTTAAAAAAGGAACGAGTTGGGTAAGAAAGCGATGGTGTTGAGATAATAACAGTGCAGAGCTTCGCGGCCGATACTAGCCTTTGAGTCGTCCGCTGCCGAATATCACCATTAGTGGTAATTTGAATATTATCTCCGAGCGAAATAGTTTTCAATTTCACCAACGCCCACCATAGTCGATATTGCTTTAAAAGGGGCCTAAGGAATATGGTATCGAGTATACGGGTGAGGAACGCACCGGTCACCGGAAGGTCAGGTCACTGAGGGGAACATGCCCTGTAAAACATACAAGTTAATTGTATTTATTCAAATGCGGTGGGGAGCTGGAAGCGAAGGAGCGCAGCCGTCGTTGTTCATGAATAGGCATGCAGTGGGAACCTTACCCTTGTCTTTCTTTATGTAACGTCATATATGCAACGTCACCACTTCCGAGGTACTACTAAACTCAGATTAAGCTTAGATGCAAATTTAGTGTATAGACATATTTCACAGATCTTAGACTCAAGCCGGTAAAGCGGTCTTTATACCTAAATTCTTACACTAACGAGAAAAATATTTTCTCAAGCATGGTTCAATTGGACAAGTTTGCTGTAGTCAAATTTACTGGTAATATACCAACTAAAAAAAAAGTTCAACCTTTTTTTAGTAGGCACAGCACATGTAACAGCATAGCATACGCACATAGCCTTACCAAAGTATCTAATTAACAGTTAAAATTTGAATCGAAGGCATAAAATAAGGACAGGATAACAATATATGAAGTCATTAACTTTCTTGAAAAAATCCCTTTAAATTCACATTTTTAACTTGTTCCTCAATTAGAAGCAACAAGGTATTTTTGGGAAAGATATTACTTATTTGGTTTCAATCTTTAATGATCTTGTCTGTCTACTTCTTGTATCCTTGTAGGTTCCCAAGAAATGCACAAAATTTTAATTTGTTTGTACGCACATCTTAAAGTTGTCTATCTATTCCGAAACGTACAGAAGGATGAAACGCCTTCGGAGATAGCTATGGTGAAACAGCTATTTCCTAGCAGTGTTTTTAGGATATTTGCATATCAGTCGCGAGTGGCAGCGCTGGGCGGAGACTTGTTTCGTGTCTTTACTGTGTAACAATGATGAATCTTAACCATTGTTATAATGTCAAGCATTGCCCACCTCACTATGTTTGCTTTGAGTAGTAGCTTCTAGTAACTAGATATTTCTAATAATCAGGTTCGTAGATGTTGGAGTAGATATCTGTTTTATTTATTTGTGGATGTTGGATTACACACATTTACATATTACCTACGAGGGACTAATAACACCTAAATCTTATTAAGTTAAAGTTCTTGTTGTATTCATATATTTAGTCAATTTATGCAATTTTCAGTGACACCTTGCATTCTCCAAATATTGAGATACTATTAATGATAAAGAATTTCTCATTAAAAGTTTATTTTTCTGCAGCTAATACAAAAGATTTGATTACAATACTTTAAATGATGTAGGTATCTTTGTCTAGGCTTACTCGTAATCTCAGATTATAAAACCTAGTTTTTATGATCTAAGCTCGTGATAGTCATCGTCGTAACATTCGTTACTAGATTGTCTATAAAGTCATAAAATTAGATAAAGTTTTACTTGCAATCACAATATTTTCAATCATCACGATCATCTAAGTAAATAAGTTACCAAGAAATATATACAAACAATAAATCCAGATTTGAATCAAACTAATTACAGCAGCATGATACGACACCTTAGGCCGCATAATCCGATTTGTTATAGCTATGCTCAATGCTCATCCCCTGACAATGGAACAGGCGAAATGTTTATTTGCACAAGATATTTAGCCACTTCCCCGGCGGATTAGCGGCGGACAAAGACGAGGGGAACATCGGAATAGATAAAGTGAGGCTAATAGGAGGG